CGTCCGCAGTCGGGACACTTGAAGGGTGTTGAGAGTTTCTTTTGATAGTATTTTGAGAAGTATTCGGGGTCTAATGGTTTGCTGTCATAAGTTCCATCGGGTTTCCATCTTGTAGAGGCTTGGATTGGGGGTTCTTGGACTGTTTCTGGATTGAGTGCTTCAACAAGTTGGTCAAAGATGTCCTCATCCATTTCTTGTTTCTTACCATCAATTACTAAATAGCAGGGCATATCAAATCTTAATTACATAAGGCGACTTGTCTTTAAGTATCTTTGGGGTGTTCTGTGTTCGCAAATGAGGTGTCCCAAAATGATGTGAAAAGAAATTCGAAAAGACCAGTTTAGGACACTTGTTGAATACTGTTCCTGCCGCTGTCAAAGTTGTTAGAATGCCATTGTCGTTGTTGCAGCTTGTTGGGAAACTGCAACTGCATTGCCTTCAGTTGAAGTTAGCAGTATGGCGAAGCCTCATTACCCAAAAAACATGCTCATCTGCCATCAACTCCCGCAGGGCGGATGGTTTGTCTCTCTTCGTTTCCACGAAAAACAACTTGAACTATTTCATCACATATGCCTATATATATATACACATAATAAACATTAACCCTGCCACACCGTCCCAACCCGTTGGATGCTCCAGACCACTCCGACGAAACTTGATTTCCCTGAAGAAACAAGATGAACAAATCGGGAGGATTAAAGGGTCTGTGGGTTTGCGCGGGTGTGTGGTGCATATGAACCAATACATGCTCAAGGGGTATGGACAGAATGCTCCCCCAAAAGATTGCTAAATTAATCATCACCAACGTCAAGTTTTGGAGACTGCTTGGAAATGTCATTCCAGCAAATCTTTGTTTGGATTTTCACCGAAACAATCAGGTTTTGAAGGCTGTTTGAATAGTTCGCTGCTTCAAGGCTTTGATAGAACCCGTTTCCAAAATCTTGCATTATGACAAATGCTGGGATTGACCTTCTAATAGATGGTGTCCCTGATGTCTTCACAACCTTGGCGCGGACGCATTCGGCAAGTGGAAGAGGGCAATTGGATGCAATTGGATACAGTAAAGCAGTGAAAAGTGGTTGATATCATCACCAAACTTCTGGGCCTGAAGAATGCTACATTTGAGAGTGCCAATCCAACAACTGCGAAACAAACCAATCTTCAATCTCTGTCATTTCATTTCACTTTTGCTCATCCAGTCTTGGAACACTGTGCAGTCTGTCCCACCGGTGCATTGTGCAGCGCAGATAGAATGCATCCCGGATTGAAGGGTAGGTGCAACCCCAATAAAAATCATCACCTTTCTGTGTTTTGCCAGTCTGGTTGGACGCAATGCGGATTGCACCATCCATGAATCACGAATGGCACCTTCAGTGCATAACGGATTGCACCCGACCTGCAATCCAAAAGTCCTACTCGTCCTACAAGGAACAAAGCACTCTCATTCACACGCCACTGCCACTTCCGCCTTCAGACCTTCTTCAAAAGGTCATGCACTGTGCGGGACACTGCGCAGTAGCGTCGCCCCTCTGCCCGCGCATCCACATAGATGCAATGAGCGCTTCGGTTCCGCACTGCTCTCGCCACGTCCGCAGGCGTGAAGTGCTTCATGAACCGCTTGGCATCGACACACTGCTCGAAGGAGCTATGCGCCACGGCCTTGGCCAAGGTGCGTGCCATCCTCGCCTTTTCGGGGCCAAAGCCACCTTGGTTGTCAATGCCCAAGAACTTCTCGACCTGATATTCTTGCACCACAAGCCGTTTGGACTTTGCTTCTTCCCATGATGTCTCTTTGGCCTTTTCCGCCACGTCCTGCAGGAGATGTGGGCAAGTTTCAAGGTTTCAAGGTTCGTTGATGTTTCGGGTTGTTGTCCCATGGTTTCATGACCCTTGTCCTCCATTACACCGATGTTGCCACCTGTGAGTTGAATCATGTCGCTCTTGTGCGTGGAGGCCTCTTCACCGCCATGATGACGTAGGAATTCCTCAACCTGACAAGGAGACGTCCATCTGCAAACATCCCAACCCATGCCAGAAGTAGCACCAACAAAAAGCACTAAAGTGATTGAAGGTGACTGAACAATTACCACATGAACTGAAGCTCTTCATTATGGCCTCCTTCTGCGAGAGCTCTTCACTCGTCAGTGGTGGAACGAAGAATCGGCGCTCACGACCGTCTGCGTCAAAAGCCATGGCTGACTCTGCAGAACTGACCATCACCAGCACTTTGGCGACCGTGTCATCAAAGCCCCATGACTTTGCAAAGGCGGAGACGCTGCTCATCACATCTGGATTAAAGACACCACGAGGAACTTCAAGGATGATGATGGGTTGCCGTCCCATTTCTTGTTTGGCATCTCTCAAGCCACGCATCATCTCCTCTTCATGGAGCACTGCCAACCTGCTCCTCAATGCGTCCTTGGCCAAGTCGTTGTTCTGCATGAGCTTGATGTGGAGCACTCCATTGTTCCACTGCTTCTCCTGCAAGACTTTCCAAAGGATGGTGCTCTTGCCCACTTCATGATTCCCCCAGATGAGGATTGGGCGGGGGTCGTCCAAGTCCAACAACTGGTGCAGTTCGTCCTGCTACAGTGCATAGTGAGCATAGTGCATCAAATTCAAAATGCCAATATGACATGGAATAACACCATCTCAATAACAAATCCCTTCTGTCAAGAAACACACAGGCAAACACAACAAAAAAAAAGGTGGTGCTTGGACGCCTTGATTATCTTCCGTTCAATCTTGACACGTGGCTCGCGTGCTTTGAAAGAGGCATTCACAATGATATTCTTCACTCGCTCTTGTTCTTGACGATGCCGTTCTTGTTCTTGACGATGCCGTTCTTGTTCTTGACGATGCCGTTCTTGTTCTTGACGATGCTGCCACATGTCCCATCCAAAGGTCACGATGGCCAACGAGCCACCACCACCAACCAACCACTTTCCAATCTGCTGTTTCGTGGTCGGCTCCTTCTCTGGAGCGTTGTTTGAGAAGCAACGGTGGTTTCGTCGGCCTGACATGAGAAGCCGAAAACCACAACATCGGGCAATGAGGCAACGCGACATACCCATGGCGGAAATCTCCAGAACTGGGACTGTGCTGGAGCTCAAGCACTTTACGATTTCTTGATGCGTTGACTTGTTCATAGTGCAACACATGCCGCAAGTAGAACTCATCTTATCTTGTGAGCATTTGTGAGCCTGTCTGCTGCGGGAGAAAGCAATCAACATCTCTGGGTGTAGTGTAATGCCACAATGTGTACATAGAGTGTACATAGTGCCTCAAGAAACGCAATATGTCCTCAAAAGTGATGCTTCCATGCAAACGAAACAGCGCGCACATCTCATCTGGGCGCCCCCGACGAAATCCAGAAAGTCCATGAAGAAGTCCGCAAAAAATGAGGCGAAGCGAAAGACGTTCAAATCAAAACACAACCAAGAAAAAACGCCACCAAAAAAGACGAGAATGAGAGAATAAAAAATGAAAGATGTTGAAAGACATGGAACCTTTTGAAAGATATCAAGTTGAATGTTCTGTCTTGAAACTGATGATAAGGAAACACAATAAAATCATACCCAAAAAAAGACAAGACATACCTTGACAATAAAAAACGACAACCACAAGTACACTATCCACAGTATCTCCCTCATCTGAACCAAAACACAAACCCCAACAGCCTAAACAAATCCTACCCTCATCTGAACCAAACATTGACACATCACTTTAGCATCAAAATGACCCCCAAAACCCCACCTGAAAAATCATCAAAACCAAGGATGAAACATTGAACCCCAACACAAAATCATAACAAGCAACATACCAACATACACGCCCTGAAACCCCCATTTTACCATTTTTTCCCAGCTTTCTTCATCAATTTTTGATTTTGGACCCACTCCCATTCCATGCTCAAACGCACCTGACATTGCAGAAGAGGATTGTACAAAGCAAAGAACCTCGGGAGACCAAGAAAGTGGCGCTGGGCACAACCCGCTGGAGAAAATTCCGACCCATCCGTAGCAACGTGCCGCCATAGCAACTCGTCGTAGTTCGCCAAAAGCCACGGACCTGATACCTCAACAAAGGCGGCAAATCGTGGCAAGATACAATAGCATCAGCAGTGTCAGCAGCATATCATTTTACCCTTCCTGCCATTTCTCCAATCTGCAGCAACTGCAAGAGTATCTACCAAAAACTCAACGAGCCATCGGAAACTATCGCCTCCTTGTGCTCAAGCATAGCCGTTCGAAGAGTGTAGATCCTTTGGAGCGTCATGGTCCGCTGGCAGAAGGCCTGTCAAGTACCCCCATATCCGGGCCACTGAGAATCAGACGCATCTGCTGCCACATCAATACAATGATGTCGAGCATAGCCTCGCCCATCAGACTGCATGAAAGCAAAGAACGGCGAAGAGAAGCAAACAAGTCTGGCGCGATTTGTGTGTGAGGACTAGAGGAACACCACTGACAGGTTCCAAGTTATAAGAAACGTGTGCCCAGCAACAGGTTTACTGCAAGTTTGAAGGCCTGGGAACTTCACACTGCTTTATCTAAGCATGCGACCAATCAGCTCAAACGCCTTTCCGCTTGTTAAAAAAGTCTCAACCTTGCCGTGCTGTGCTCAGGAGCAACGGACCAGAATTGCCGCGGAAAATAGCAGACACTTCACATGCTTCCGAAGCTACAAATTGCCTCAAATCTATCTGACTGTATGTGAATTGGCCAAAGCTATGGTGTGCAAGAAATATCAGAAACGTAACTTCCACATGCTTCGATCTGTTCATCCAAGAGACAAGTTGCCCATAGCGAAAGAAAGAGCGAAGAACCGCACCAGAGAAGAGTGCAGCCTCCCACCAGAGGCCAACTAAACTGCCATTTATCATTGCTCAAAACGGACAGAGTCTCAAGATGTCTCAAGACTCTGAGGCAGCATGAAAAGCTACCCTACATTCATGTTCATCGCCTTCCGCCTTTCGCATTTCAACGTTCACCCCTCACCTCCTCGTTGGCATAGCTGTCCATCAACTTGTTGAAGAGAGTTGGGTGAAACCGGACATACTCCATGACCTGTAGCAGGACAGTGTTTTACCAGAGAAAACAAGAGGAAGTCAGAAAGGAGAATGCAATGGATTTTTTCCTGATCAAGGCCGGAATTGAGCAAAAAATATAGCTTGCCAAATCTTTCCTTGCCAAAATTCTAGTTTGATAGTCAGGACAAGCTTCACCTAGCCTGGGCAGCCACCTCTTCGGGCAGGTCCGGCCAAAGGAGGGCACAGCAAACGTTCATGACATCCTGAGGATCAGAGAGAAAAAACATGAAAAGACTACCCGGTTTATTTGACATCTCCAGAAATCTTTGCTGTGGAATCATGGCCTCACTTAGCCGACTTAGCCAATCAGTTGGTCTCCCAGCCTTCCGAACTTCGAAGTCCAGAGTTGTCATCTGAGAGAGCAGCTGCACCTGCTTCCCACAGGTTGACCGTGGAACTGGCGTACAGAGCTACCTAGTAGAAATTGCTTCATCTTTGGATCAAAGGGTTGCTCAATGCTTCCAACTCTACTAGAAAAGGCCATTGTTGGAACTTTAGCCACTTTAGCAATTGCAGCATCTGCTTGTAACAAAGTTTTTCGCCATGCAACACATTCCCCTGGGGTTGCTGCAGGCAAATCAGCAGCCAAAAACTGCTCCAGCACATGCAGCTGCTCCTGAGTGACCTGCAGACTCTTCATGAGGATACCTACAACTCTTGTGGCTGTTCTCCTCTTCCCACCTTGTTTCAAAGAAAATGTGCCAAGGTCCATTAAGATCCATCAAGTCTATATCAATATGTTGCAAACAATTCCAATTCACACAGTTTCACTGATCTGCTTTCTACATTGCGTAGCCATCATACGTCTGCCTTGGCTCGTCCGTGCAAAACGTCGTTCTTCCCACAGGTCTCAGAAAGCTCCTGAAGGCCAACATCTTCGTGCAGTGCTTTCACAGTTTCCACAATTTTCACAAGTTATATATGTCAGTAGGATTCAACCGGCACCCCATTTTGTGCGCGGACAAATCATGCCACCAGATCGCTTCTGGACTCTGAAGATCACCAACGGCAACACGGCCACTTCTATGTACAGTAGGTCTTGGCCTTGAAAAGCTGTCTACACAGGGACTTGGGGACTTTTGAAAAGAGGCGATCTTCATGTGCAACACGGAACTCGTTCACCATCACCTTTTCCTTTGCCAGTCCCTGTGCAGCAAGCTACTGATTGCTCAAGTCATCATTGGCAGTAGCACTGCTCACAGTTTCCAACCTCACCAGCAACAAACGATGAAAAACATTACAAGAAAAAGGGCAATCGACTGCAATATCACGCAAGAATAGTGGAGATAAGCGGAGAAGTAAAAACGATGTAGAAAAGGAGCAAACCAAGAAGGAGGAAGGAAGAAAAAAGAAACAAAAAAGAAAGAGAACGAAGCAGTTTGTTGGCCAGATTTCTTAGGAGTGTTTGTGGGCATCACCTGTGTGTGTGTGTCTACTACCAAGCATGATGGTTCTGACTACCCTTCCAAGGATGTCAGACGTGTTACATACACGAATTCATATCTCGCACAAAAGCTTTACCATCCGTTTTGCTCACATTTCTACACAAGACCTGATTTGTTTCTTTTTTCGTCGCCTCTCAGCACGCGATAAAATTCCAGTCCACCTGAATCCCGTGATGTGGGGGAAATTGACTCTTATTTTCAACAAATTCAAAATATACAGCACAAAGGCGCTGAAACAAGTGTGCAATCAGCCCAGAGGCTAGGATACATACATTTGAAGCAACGGATATTTTTTTGAAAGTTGTTTGCGCTAGGTGCCTCTGTATAAGGACTTCAAACGAAAAAATAAAAATAAAAAGAAAAGGCAAAGAGATGCCAAGGGACAAGAAACGCGCAACCTCAAAAGATTGACGTTCTGATTTGCCTGGGGCCTCACTGCGCCCACTGTGGTTTTACCAGCTTGATATGGCAACCTCCACGAGATATATTCGAAGGAAGTTTAGAAGTCAAACTTCCGACAACATTCGCAGATGAAAATCAGAGATGGGAAGAGTCGAGTCAGCTATCAAAAAAAAATTAAAGTCATCAAAAAGAAATTTAATTTCCCATCAAAAAAAATTAAACTCATCAAAAAAATATTCCCTCATATCCTGGCCTGCGCAAGCCAAACGCAAAATACAAGCATCATGAAGTCTGTGCATTGCATCATCAAAAAAAATATGTTTAAATTATTTTTTGATGATTTAAATTTTTTTGGGGGGTCATTGGTAAAACAATTATTGCTAGCAGAAAAAGTATATTAAAAAAGGAATATACTTGGGAGGGACGGTTGGGTGGGCTTGGTCGACGCCGACATGTACGAGTCATCGCACAAGGAACACGTATTGGTTCGCAAGCTGTTCAATAACGAGGCACTGGGCCAAACAACATTGAATCCAATGGGCTACAAAAACCATTCTTTCCATCATGTTTTCCAGGCACGGGTGGGTGGGCCTGCTGTATACGGAAGCTTGCACAACAACGCACGGCTACGCGATGAAGTACGCTTGAAAAAGGCCAAAGAGCCAAAAGCCAAATGGCCAGAGGCCAATAGGTCAAGCCTGGCGCTAAAACCCAGAGGAAGTAGCAGGAGGACAGTAGACGAAGCTGAGCAGGTTGGCTGCGACAGGTTTGGTAATGCCAAGAAAGATGAGAACGTGCGGGAATCGAACTTCCATGCGTGTAAGTTACCTGGCCCAGCGACCAAGCGTACCCAATTCCCAGGACCTAGCGTTCGAGCCACACAGCCCTACTTGCAAGGCAGCTGAGTCGTTGGGCCACCGGGCCACCAGTTCCAGGCCCCCACACAGCAATGGTCAGCTGCCATCCCCATTTTGACTTGCAAAGGTGTATGTCTACTATGTTGGAATGGACGCAATGTAGGTGGGCCTTATCATGACACATTCATTCGCAATGTGGGTGGGCCTTATCATCCACCTTTCTGGCGTTGTCACAAGCCGCGGGCAGGGCTTTAAAATAAAAAGGCGGGAGGGGGGCGCGGGAGGGGGGCGCGGGGGGAGCGCAGCGCCTCCCCCCGCAAAGCGTCACATGAGTGGTGTCCACAGGATTACTCTATACCTCCCTTGAGCCTTGACAGCGTATATAAATATGCTCAATACTCATGCAGTACCCACGTAGGATTCAAGTTAAAACAAAAACCAGGGCGCAGCGCCTCCCCCCAACAGAACAGTATAGGTGGGCCGTATCATCCACCTTTGTGGCGTTGTCACAGCACGGAAGCACAGCAAGCATGTTAGCTGGTTGCCTGGTTGGTTGGTTGTTTGGTTGCTTGGCTGGTTCGCTTCTTCGCTGTCTTGGTTGTAGTCGTTTGGTGTGTGTGTGTGCGTTCAACCGAACCAAACTAACAAAAGGTTGACAAAACAAGAGCCATACAGGCCTCCCTCCTGGACATGCATCGGGCACCAGTGCCATGTTCCTGAAAAAGACACCAATGCGCCTCCCCCCGCAAAGCGTCACATGAGTGGTGTCTACAGGATTACTCTATACCTCTCTTGAGCCTTGACAGCGTATATAAATATGCTCAATACTCATGCAGTACCCACGTAGGATTCAAGTTAAAACAAAAACAAGGGCGCAGCGCCTCCCCCCAACAGAACAGTATAGGTGGGCCGTATCATCCACCTTTGTGGCGTTGTCACAGCACAGAAACAAACCAAGCATGTTAGCTGGTTGCCTGGTTGGTTGGTTGTTTGGTTGCTTGGCTGGTTCGCTTCTTCGCTGTCTTGGTTGTAGTCGTTTGGTGTGTGTGTGTGTGCGTGCAACCGAACCAAAATAACAAAAGGTTGACAAAACAAGAGCCATACATGTGGCCTCCCCCTGGAAATGCATCGGGCACCAGTGCCATGTTCCTGAAAAAAGCACCAACGCGCCTCCCCCCGCAAAGCGTCACATGAGTGGTGTCCACAGGATTACTCTATACCTCCCTTGAGCCTTGACAGCGTATATAAATATGCTCAATACTCATGCAGTACCCACGTAGGATTCAAGTTAAAACAAAAACAAGGGCGCAGCGCCTCCCCCCAACAGAACAGTATAGGTGGGCCGTATCATCCACCTTTGTGGCGTTGTCACAGCACGGAAGCACAGCAAGCATGTTGGCTGGTTGCCTGGTTGGTTGGTTGTTTGGTTGCTTGGCTGGTTCGCTTCTTCGCTGTCTTGGTTGTAGTCGTTTGGTGTGTGTGTGTGTGTGCGTGCAACCGAACCAAAATAACAAAAGGTTGACAAAACAAGAGCCATACAGGCCTCCCCCTGGAAATGCATCGGGCACCAGTGCCATGTTCCTGAAAAAAGCACCAACGCGCCTCCCCCCGCAAAGCGTCACATGAGTGGTGTCTACAGGATTACTCTATACCTCCTCTTGAGCCTTGACAGCGTATATAAATATGCTCAATACTCATGCAGTACCCACGTAGGATTCAAGTTAAAACAAAAACAAGGGCGCAGCGCCTCCCCCCAACAGAACAGTATAGGTGGGCCGTATCATCCACCTTTGTGGCGTTGTCACAGCACAGAAGCAAACCAAGCATGTGGGCTGGGTGGCTAGTTGGCTGGTCAGTTCCGCGGTTGCTCGGTTGCTTGGTTGGTTCGCTTTATATGTTTGGTGTTTTCAACTATAACCAAAGTAACTCAACAAGAGCCACATGTTTGGCCTCCCCCCCTGGAAATGCCTTGGGTCACATGATCATGACACATTCATTCGCAATGTAGGTGGGCCTTATCATCCACCTTTCTGGCGTTGTCACAAGCCGCGGGCGGGGCTTTCAAATATAAAAAGGCGGGAGGGGGGCGCGGGGGAGCGGCGCAGCGCCTCCCCAAGCGCAAAGCAAGTTCACAAGGGGCAGCGCCTCCCCCCGCAATAGGTGGGCCGTATCATCCACCTTGTGGCGTTGTCATGATACATTTGCATTTTTGCAATGTAGGTGGGCCTTATCATCATGGTCATGATACATTCATTTGCAATGTAGGTGGGCCTTATCATCCACCTTTCTGGCGTTGTCACAAGCCGCGGGGGGGGGGTTAAATAAAAAGGCGGGAGGGGGCAGCGCCTCCCCCCGCAAAGCGTCACATGAGTGGTGTCCACAGGATTACTCTATACCTCTCGTGAGCCTTGACAGCGTATATAAATATGCTCAATACTCATGCAGTACCCACGTAGGATTCAAGTAAAAAAAAAAACAGGGCGCGGCGCCTCCCCCTTGCAAAGCGTCACATGGTCATGATACATTCATTCGCAATATAGGAAAGATAGAATAAAAAGGAAAAGATAGGATAAGATAGGGTAAGATAGGAAAAGATAGGGTAAGATAGGGTAAGATAGAGTAAGATAGGGTAAGATACATAGAAAGACAAATAGATAGATAGAAAGAAAGATAGATAGATTGATTGATTGATTGAGATATAGATATAGACGTAGGTGTAGATGTGGAGCCGAAGGAGCCATAAGAGCGAAAAGCCACAGGAGCCGAAGGAGCCATAGGAGCCGAAGAAGCCAGAGGAGCCGGAGGAGCCATGTACCAAAGAAGCTAAAAGACAAGCAGCCAGAAGCCAAAAAGCCAAGAAGCCACGAAGCCACCAGGGACACAGGAGCCGAAGGAGCCACAGAAGCCAGGAGCCACACAGGGAACTATAGGAGCCACCAGGAACCAAGGAGAAAAAAAAGAAACAAATTAAATTACCCTCCCTCATTTTTTTGGGGGTCCTTAATGTTTCCTTGCTAACTTCCAACAATCTCCCGATAACATGGGTTTCGTTTTTGGTCCTAAAATAGCCCGTCTACCACTGGTCAGGTACATCCTTTCATTCGAAAGCTAGCTTGTATTTGTAAAGAATGGCAATTTGTATGCTTCCTTCCCTGCTTTTCCTCCTTCATTTCCTCCTTCCTTTCTTTTCCTTCCCTCTTTCCTTCCCTCTTTCCTTCCCTCTTTCCTTTCATCTTTCCTTTCCTCTTTCCTTTCCTCTTTCCTTTCCTCTTTCCTTTCTTTCCTTTCTTTTCTTTTCCTTTCTTTTCCTTTCTTTTCCTTTCTTATCCTTTCTTTTCCTTTCTTTTCCTTTCTTTTCCTTTCTTTTCCTTTCTTTTCCTTTCTTTTCCTTTCTTTCCCTGTCTTCCCCTCCTTCCCTCCTTCCCTCCTTCCCTCCTTCCTTCCCTCCTCCCTCCCTCCCTCCGTTCTTCCTTTCCTGCTTCCTTTCCTTCCTTCCTTTCCTTGCTTCCCTTCTTTCATTCCTTCCTTCCTTTCCTTGCTTCCCTTCTTTCCTTCCTTCCTTCCTTTCCTTGCTTCCCTTCTTTCATTCCTTCCTTCCTTTCTTGCTTCATTTCTCTCCTTCCTTCCTTCCTTCCTTCCTTTCCTGCTTCCCTTCTTTCATTCCTTCCTTCCTTTCCTGCTTCCCTTCTTCCCTTCTTCCCTTCTTCCCTTCTTCCCTTCTTCCCTCCCTTCCTTCCTTCCTTCCTTCCTTCCTTCCTTCCTTCCTTCCTTTCCTGCTTCCCTTCTTTCCTTCCTTCCTTCCTTTCTTGTTTCCCTTCTCTCCTTCCTTCCTTCCTTCCTTCCTTCCGTCCTTTTCTTTCCTTTATTTAAATTTCTTTTTGATGATTTATTTTTTTTTGATGAATTAATTTTTTTTGATGATAATTATTTTTTTTTTGATGGTCCTCCCTCCTTCAACTGGGCCAAAGCGAGGTCCGTGAAGGTTTTGATGTCATGGTGGTGTGGGACAATATGGGCAATCACAGTGGCGTTATTCCCGGACCTCCTGAAGTCCTCACATCTCCTCACCTTGTCAGTCTGCAGGACACTGAAGCAGAAGCTCGTGCATATGTCCTGCTCTGGAAGTGGAAGGAGAGGTTTCTCCTCGACGCTGATTGCTGGAGTCGGCCACCAAGTCGGAGCACTGTATGGTCCGGACATGCGGCCCTTGCCCAATTCGATCTTGAGCTCTTCCAGGAGTGTCTTCCATTCAGGATCCAGGTCGCGGCTGCAGAGCTTGGCAAGCGTGTAGTGCTTGTTGTGTCGTCGGAATGCTTCTTGATTTGCCGGAAACTCATAACGGCCGTCTGCCCTGGGAAGCCATCCCGCTCCCTCGTGTAGAGCCCCGGTCACCTGGAAACCCTGTTGTAGATCTTCGGCCAACTCTGCCAGGCCAGGCATCTGTACCATCTGCAGCAGTTGGATCAGCAACGGGATCTGGGAGATCTGGGCATGCTCCTTGTCATAGTACACCATGGCTATATGATGAGGTAGGGCTTGCCACCAAGACGTGGTGGCCTCTGGTTGGGCTTCTGCCATCTGCGCGATCTCATCTACAATCTCTTCTCGCATCCGATTCAAGCTGCCCCCCAGCCTGTGTTGGAGATCGATGCATTGTTGCAGTCCCGGTTCTAACCTTGGAGGCCTCTGCATCGGATGGACTGCTTCCTGCGCCAGTCTCCAGTGCTCCCACATAGATCCCGCCTGCGCGACGCATGCAGCTTCTTTCGGCCATCGGCCGGGGCCCAGTTGCGGCTGCATAGGTTGGATGATTGATAGCATCGTCTGCAGGGCTGTCTGCCTCGGTGAGGGGACAGGTGACGCCACTGGTGTCATCATCATCGTCTGCAACACCGGCATCATAAGAAACCTTGCGGTGCCCAAGTGCCATCCATTCGCCATCATCCGATGACGGACCCTTTCTGTCACCCCTGGCACTGACGTGTACCCACTCGGTAGCATGTGTAGCTGCTCTTTCACCTCAGGAGTGGGCACTGACATCATACCGTCCTCGGCATGTAGTAGGGCTTCTGGGGCGTATTGCCATGGGGCGAAGGTTCTGCCATCATTCAACCACCTTGTCCTTTGTGGGGGTCGATGCGGCCCCGTAATTTCTTGGGAGGCGGTCGTCCCTCTTCAGAAGGTGCTGGCGTTGTGAAGCATGGACACCGTTTCTAGTGGGCCACCACCTGAGGGTGCATGTGGAGTTCACCGGTGTCGAGTTGTGATGCCTCGGATTGGGGCGTCCAGGTGAAGTCGGTGGTACTTCTGTGTTTTTCTCCACCGTAGCTTGTTCCCTGTCACCGGGCTGTGTCTAGTGACGCTCCAATCAATCCGAGTCCACCATAGCCTAGGTTTGAGTTGTCCCGGGTCTGCTACAGACATGTGAACCCTGTAATCATTAAAAATACCCAAGAAAAACAAAAAAATACAACTCCAAATTACAAAAACATGCAACACTGAGCAGGGCAAAATTATCAACAAAAGGAAAATACAACATACATTGATGGATTCGCGGTTTTGTTCTTTGACGGGACGTCTAAAGAACGAAAAAATACAAAAGGACAAAGTGCAATCTGTGAAGGACTGGAAAAATACAAATAAAAATACAAAAATACAAATTGCATTTTTGGACGCAATGGAAAAATACAAAAAAAATACAAAAATACAAAGTGTATTTTTTATATTTTATTTGTATTTTTCGTATTTTTTTGTATGTTTACCAAAAAAAGGAAAAAATACAAAAAAAATACCAAAAAATACGAATGCAATTGCTCAAAAATACAAAATACAAAAAAAATACGAATCAACGATATCAAAAATACAAAATACAAAAAAAAATACGAACCCAAAATTTCAAAAATACAAAATACAAAGAAAAGACAAATTCAAAAATAAGCCAGAGAGCCAACCCCGTGTTCACTTTTGGAAATCAGGAACCAAAATACAAAAAAATACAAAACCAACCAGTTGTATTTTCCAAAGCCTGCAGTTCTGATTTTGTATTTTTGGGTTGTATTTTTTTCGTATTTTTTTGTATTTTTAAATATTGGCAGAAGACCCTTCTGTATCCACCGCGGACAACTCAAGCCTAGGTCTGTTGATGAGCCCAAAGTCCTGGGCATCGGCGACAACTGCCTCGCAGTCCAGCCTGCTGGAAAACAAGTCAGCTTCTGATTTTTGCATCACCACATTTTCTGTCAGATGGCCCACCCGTTTGTGTGGGATGTTCATCTCGACCTGGTTGATGAAGGCGCAGTAGGCCGTGAACTTCTGTCCCTCTGCTCCATCGGAGCCTGGTGGGTTCTCTTTGATCCTCGAGAAGTCAGGGTAAGGTGGAGCCGATGCGAACAGCACCAAGCATGTGCCCTGAGGATCATGTTGACGAATGATTTTGGCAACCTCAAGCGGGTCGTCCTTGAGGAAATCCCCCCTCATCATCGCGTCTGTGTGCCTGGCTGCCTGAACCTTCAAACACTCTTCGTCAACCTCCCATGTGATATGCAGGGAGATAGAGTCGAGCAGGTCTCGCAGAGCCACTGCTGCCGATCCGATACCATCAAAGCAGCTTAGCAAGATCACTTTCTCATTCAGTTTTTGAAACACCTGAGCTGTGCCGGTCTGGGGTGGCTTTTCGGGCGGTGGATAGCCCGTGTTGTCGGGCGTCACAGAGGCCACCTGCTCCGTGACCCCGTGCTGTCCCTATTTGGATGTGGACTTCCAGTCCGAGCTCCAAGCATCTTTCTTCCATGACGATTTCTCCTCATACTTGGAGTGACCTTGCCATGATCCCGATGCTTTCTCGGACTTGTCATTGGGTTCCCACATCCATCGTCCAGTAGGCCGGGAGTAGGGTGACACCCTGCTGCTCTTACCGGACTTGGTGTTGCTCTTGCCCGAGCCTTTGGCCTCTGGCTTTGCCGTGGCTGCAGCCGTGACTTTCTTCACCTGCTGCGTGGACTCTCGATTCATGCATTCTGTGAAGCGTTGTGCACTCTAAGAAAGTGCGTCCACTGCGCATTTCTAGTGCCAGCACTCATGACACCGATGGTCCGTTTTCCCGGGCCGGCTCCGCACCAGTCTGACCAGCCAGTCGAAGAAGGTGTGGACAGCCTGCTCTGATCCCGGTTTGCAAAGGACGAAGCACCACCTGATGCTCGATAGCCCATCGATGATGGCGAGCACACTGCGGGGCTGCCATGGCTCTTCTGGTGCTGCGACCAGCTGTTCCCCGGTCAGGGTCAGCTTCGTGACACTGCGGTCACGTTTGGCCAGCGGGTTGGGCTCTCCGTTGGCTTGGAAAGTCCCTGGAGGAGACAATTTCACCCAGGAGGACCGGTGTGTAGGTCTTGCTGACCTCATGTTCATGTAGTACCCGGGCGATGATGTTCTCTGTGCCCAGGAGTTCTTGGACGGGAAATATCCTGTCTTCTCCACCAATCTGTTGAGATTGGTAATCTTGAACCAAGGCCAACGGCCCGGCGCCAAGGTCTTGGCGATCTTGTCCTCCGCTGCAGCTGTGGTCGTACCAGGGGCCGTGGCAGGCGGCGATGGAGGTCTTGGCTGGGCAGCTACCTGTGCTTGTTCCCAGCTCTGTTTGGCCATCATCCACATGTGTATGAGCGTGGCCTTGGCAATCGGTTTGTCAGTGTCCGGGATCGAGATGATCGTCCCGTCTTCTCTTGGCCACCCTTG